TAAAAAAAAAAATTTTGAATTTACTTACTTGTAGCCGGAGTTAGAGGCGGTCGGATACTTATGACCGCTACTGTAACTGATACCACTCAGAAGAAGAAAATGAAACTGATCCAGATCATCCAGATAATAAAAGATTAGTTGTCATTAAGGACATGAGTTGGCGCTCTTCAACAGTAATTTTTAATTTTAATTTGTTTTATATTTATATATATAGAATACTAATTGATTATTCTTAGACTTGTAAATTCTTACGAGATTATATTGATAGAACATTTAATGAAACATCCAGATCCACTTGTCAAAGAAATCATATTCATGACAATAAACATTATATCATTGGTGATGCTCTGTTTAGGGCTCCTGATTGGACTCTTTCTAGATATAATGATCATTTAAAGAAATATATTAATGATGCTTGCAATCAATGTTATTCAAATATCTGAGAAGAATAAAATAGTGATGATAATAGTAGTTAACAAGAAGGAAATTCAAAATATGATTCAGATGGGATTAATTAGTTTATATTTGAATATTTATATTAAATGTACTTATAATCTGACAAAATTCAATAAATTAGCATAAATTACATTTTTACTAATATTCAGTAATCCAATTGAATTATACTAATTAATAATTTAATATTATTCAGTTTGTAAATAAAGAAAAAAAAAGCTATAATTCAGCATGCAATTTGGTAGCCTAATTGTATATCTAATGATAGCTTTTTACTATATCTCAGATGATTTTCGAATGGAACCTGAATTTAAGCCATCATTAGATATAATTCAATAATTACCAAATGATTCCTAATGATGCTAATTCAGAAATTATTAGGGTATCATTCAGATATCATTCATATATTCTAATAATTCCTGAATTGGCATCATTAGACCAGTGAATTTTTTTACTTTATGCATTTTATGATTAGAAGAATTTTTTTTTCTTGTAAAAATCAATATTAATTAAATAATAAAAAAGTTGACTTGCCTGTATACTAATATTCTAATATGCTATATTCAACAAAACATCAAAAACATCTAAAAAAAAATTTGTGAAGCAAAAAAAGCTAAACGTCAGTATACCAGAAGTAACATTGATATTGATAATGTATCTGATTTTGAAAGTTATCCTGATATTAATAATATTTCTTTCTATGATGAGCTAAAAGGCTATGATAATAATGAAGATTCTGACAATGACAATATTTCTTTTTATGATGATAATTTTTCCATTTATGATGAGCCAATAGAAAATGATAATGTCATAAGTATTGTAAAAAAACTACAAAAAGCAACAAAAAAGTATCATAAAAAACATGCTTCTCAAGAAATACATAGATTACGTTATATAGGAAACTCAAGCTACACTAAAAGAAGAAAGAATCAGCAATAGTGTAAAGCAGCAAAAGGGACCCTTAAGTTATATACCTTTTGGAATGTTAAGAAATCTACTGAAGAAATTGAAGAATTAGATGATAAGACTAATATAGATATAGATGATAATGCTGATGAACAGTTAGTATTAGATGATAATGCTAATAAACAGTTAGATAATAAGGTTAAGGGTTATAATTGGTATAATAAAATCCCAGATGCTCTCGAAAGTCTAATGTTAGATATTAAAAAAGAAAAAACAAATAGTGAGGTTTAGGTGCATTTAAATAGCATTCATCTTTATTTTCAACTTGTGAAAAGTAACCATCCAAAAATGCAAGCAAACAAAATTGTTGCTGATGCAGTAGGAAAAGAAACATACCATGCTAAATGTATTCGTTCTTGGGCACGTAAATATATAAAGAATCACAAAATTCCCTACTCTCATCGAGAACATCATGCTAAGATATGGAGTTTTCTTTAGGAAGAAAATATTCTTCTTCAAGTAAAGTCATTTGTTCAAGAGCATAAGTGAAAAATTACTTCACAAATGTTAATGATATAAATGAATGAGAATATTTTACCAGGGTTTAGATTTACACTGTCTCTAATTATTCATATAAATACTGCAAGAAACTATTTAAAAGATCTTGGTTATACATATGCAAAAGTAAAAAAAGGAATGTATATAAATGGACATGAAAGAGAAGATGTGGTGGCTTATCAAAAAATATTTTTAGAACGAATAAGTGAACTTGAGCTTAGAATACCTATTTTTTCAGAAGACAACTTAGAAGAAGTAACCTGACTAAATAATCCACTTATTCTTATTATGCACGACGAATGCATTTTCTTAGCTTATGATAGAAGTCAGAGTCTTTAAATCCCTAATGGAGAACAACCCTTATGAAAAAAAGGTAACAGTTGCTTGATTCATATCAGTGATTTTTTGACTGACGTTTGTGATCATCTTGCACTTTCTGACAAAATACAGGTATCAGATAATTTTTTCAAAGAGGCCTGTATTATTATGAATCCAGGTAAAAACAATGATGGATAGTGAAAGGCTGAAGATTTGGTAAACCAAGTAGTCGAACGTGCTATTCCCATATTCGAAAAACGTTTTTCAGGGTATCAGGTTTTATTTGCATTTGATAATGCATTAAGCCATGCTACTTTTTCACCAGATGTACTAATTGCCAAACATATGAATCTTAATTCTGGTGAAAAGTAACCGAAGATGTGCAGCACGTATTTTGGTGAGGAAGTTTAACAAGAAATGATCTTTTCGTTAGATTATCATATTTCTAAACTGCGTGAATAGCCAAAAGGGTTAAAGCAAGTTCTAACAGAAAGGAATTGTGACTAAATGGAAGGTTGAAATTGGAAGAAGCATGAAAAATTATGAGTCAGCAGCCAGATTTTTAGCATAAAAGAGACGATTTAAAGAGGTTATTATTGCAGCTGGACATTAAATCATATTTTATTCTAAATTTCATTGTGAACTCAATTATATTGAGAACTTTTAGGATGCAGCTAAGAAATTTAGTCAGTCAAATTGTGATTACTTATGGATGAGATTACAAAGGACTATTCTATTAGCTTTTGCTTCTGTTTCACTTACAACTATTTGTCAGTATGTAATGAAAGCATTTCGCTATATAAATGTATACTGAAAAAGCTTAATGGGTCAGGCAGCAGAATTTGCAGTTAAAAAGTATTATTCACATCATCAGATTCCCAATTCAGTTTTACAAACAGTTATTATTTAGAAAATTAGTAATATGTAAATTTTGCGCATATCAATTATAACAATTAAAATACTTATCTTTTAAAAACTTTCATTTATTTTTTCAATAAAGATAATAAGGGACGTTAAATCTTTTTTTAAAAGATTGTGACTTTTGATCAGTGTCACAGAAATGAAAATTAACCAATAAAAAGTAAGAAAATTGATCACGTAAGTTACGTAAGGGTGGTCAAAATTTCTGATTTAATAGTAAAATGACCTCACTTTTAAATTGTTACTGCTCTATCGAAAATAGTTTTATCAGAATTTTAAAAATATACACTGATCAAAATCAAAAAAATTGGACATGTGAAAATTGGCCTAAAATCAGTCTAAATTTGGCAAATTATCAAAAATCAGCCTAGCCGATTGGCATACATCAGAAATCGGCCAAGAATCA